TGTAATCAAGATTTTTTTTTTAAAGAAACTAGAGAAGAACATTTAAAATGAATTCGGTACTCTCATTTTTCCTTCTTTTATGATGTGTCACGGTTTGTATGATTTTTACATTCATTTTGTTCTCATCTGCTTTGTCTTACTCTTCTTATTTTAGAACAAATAAAATGAAATAAGCCACGTCACACCTTTTAACAAAGCTTAGAATCAAACACTTAGATCAAAGTGAAATGACTATTAAATTAACTGAATATTGGTTTGCCTCCATGCCCTGACCAAATTGTCTGATGTTATTATGAAATGGGTTGACACTTTTTCTACTCAGACTGTTTTAGTCCTTTTTAAGCTAATTTGATAAGCTGAATTTATTTCACCCATATCTTTGTGATCTGTAATAACCTCAAATTGATTATGGGATATGTAGTATATAGCTCTTGGGCTTAAGTTTTGTGTAATTTTGTAAAACAGTTGCCTCTTACTGATGAAGTCCACATTTTGTTTATCATTCTTTCGATCTGGCATCTAGGATGGAGCTTTCTTCTCAGTAGCTTCCCATTCGACATCAGGTTAAAGGATCTTACACAGTTACTTTGGATGCTCTCAGTTCTTTCATGGTTTCCTCACATTTTGACCATCCTTGAGAACCTCATGTGATGGAGATGCCATCTGAAACAGGTGTTTATGTTGGTTGCAAAATACCCTTGTATTCCAGGACCGATTTTTTTTCTTTGCATTTGTTAGATTTATTGGAATGTCAAAGTTATTTTTGCCACTGCATGTACTATAGAAAATAATTCTAAGTAAAGTTTCCATAGAGAGATTTAGGTAAATACTAGATTTTCTTGTTTCAGTGATGAACCTACTGAGGAAAGAAGAGGATGTTGGTATATAAAAATGCCAAAAGAAATATGGAAATTGAAATCATGTAGTTGGCATTGGGAATTGAAAACAAAATATAGACAAACTGCTGCATTTTACATCTGTGGGAACTAAATCGAAGAAAGATTAAGTGGGCTGTCTGAGATGTCCACTAGTGAGTATTTGAGGATCATCAGACTCCTATTCCAAAGCACTATCCTGGGAGGTAAATCGTAAGTTCTTCAGATGTTCTGACCTCTCCATCTCTTTTCATGCCTGTTCTGCTATCTTGAGTAAATCATAAATGTCCATTGTCCCTCTGAGCCTTTTTCTACAATGAAAGAGAAACAGTAAAAGTTGTTGCTAGGCTGAGTGTGGTTGAGTGTAGGAAGCTGGCAAAGGGCACCTCGTGAAGAGTAAAACACAGCAGACTTTGCACATTATGTTTATGTAATGTTTTCAAAGTTTTTAAGACAAACTTTACCAAGTTACATGGGTATTTACAGCAAAAGCCACCACTCTCATAACCATCAGCACTGCCCAGCAATTGTTTTCTTCCTTATTTTGTTATACAGGAATGGATTCCATTTGAGGGTACTTTAACTGTCAGAAATATCAGAAGGAGCTGTTGCACTTTGAGCAATCTTTCCAAACCCCTCTCCAGACGACACAGGGAGAGTGATTTTGAAGCAATCTTTGTCTTGCCTTCCCATTGCCCTTTCACCCAAGATACAGCTTTCAGCTAATTAGTTCTTCCTGACATGTCAATGAGAGTTATCCTGTGCTCTGACCAGAGAGGTAGATTGGTGAGGTCGCACAACTCTAGCCTTGCTGGAATTTACTTGTAAAAGCCTTATTTTGTTTAGCTACTTGACACCTAACATTTCTGTTGCCCAAGAGCTCATGATTTCAAGCTTCCAATGAACTGAAACTTGCCATTTTAACTTTAGGTCAGTCTCTTCACTGTTTCTGTCTCTTATTCTTAGCTATAACCTGTCCCAGTTTGTAATGAAATCCATTTATGTTCTACTTTTAAATATTTGATGAAATATTGATTATCAACATAGAATCTACTTGATTTATTTCTGTAGGCACTTTACCTGAAGATTAAAAAGGTGTCCAGATTTAAAGAACAAAGACCTCTTCAGTTTTCTTTTTTTTTCTTTCCTTAAACACAAAGTGTGCTTTGGTGACAGCATATCAGAGGGCCATGTTCTGCTAGATCTTCTGAGTTGAATGAACCCAATTAATGTACAATTACTGGCAGCAGTGCTCTATTTGAAGGGTCTTTTACAATTAAACTTTTTAACAGGATAATTGTAGACATCTGCTTCACGTACCTTAGCAGCTACATAGCTAGTATTTGCTAAAATCTTTTGAGCTTTTACAGCTTTTATACAAAAGGACATATTGGCAATTTGGTTTTCCTATATAATAGGCAGACTATGCAAAATACTAAGCTAGAATTCAGCATTGTTATAGAAATGCTCAATGTCACCAGAGCGATTGACTTGTTCCACCTGGCTTTTAGACATTTGGAGAAGCAAAACATATGTACCTTAATTGCAAAATGTAGGCTTAATGAACATGCAGGCGTTATGTTATACCAAATGCAAGAATCCACATGATGGCAAGCTACTTAAGAACATGTCACAATGTTTTGCTTTTAAGAGGTTTGCCTTTGGCAGTGTTTCAGAGAAGAATGTGTTCCTTACATTTGCAGTCCTGTGAGCCAATAATAAAGTGTTCAGCATATGAAGCTGGTATTTATTTTAAATTGCTATGTCAATATTTTTGTTTAAAAGCAAGCTTGATTCCCTGTGTGGACTTTGTTGAAGACTTCTATCACTGCTTTTTATTTGAGTTTGATTTAGCTTCCTTTCCTCCTGATTTTGTGGTTTGCAGAATAGCTCACTTGAAAGCCTTCTGATTGGGGTTGGGGGGGGTGGTGTTGTTGTAAAATTGCTGTGTGAATTTCAAAGACCAGAAATGTAAAAAGGAGCAAATGGTTGCTGAAGGCCCCAGAGAAGTGACTGCAATCAAGCAGTGCTAGTGTGACCTTGAGGCTTCCCAGAATAACCATGCATTTGGCATAATGAGAGCTCTGGGTTCAAATGCCTCCAGATGACCCTACCAGCAGAAGCCCCTTCCTCCTACAAAGATGTCTCCAGGCCTAATGCCAGTGTTTAGTCCACTAGTAGGAATCCAGACAATTAGGCTTTTATTTTCAAAAATACAAATAAAATTATGCCATTATGAAATCTTGCATAACCAATTTATCCTAATGTGATGTCAAAACAAATTTCCCCAGTAGTAAAGGGAATGCATTATCCACTGCAGATATAATTGCTTTCTAGATGCTGTATACTCTTCCAACAAATTGTTGGGCAGTTCTATTCATGAAGTTTCACAATTCTCCATCCCAGGCATATTTCTGCGGGGTAATTAAAATGGTCTTTTCATAAAGGCTGTATGAAACAGTGTGCATCATCTATACACACTGAGTAGAAAAAATATTGTATTCATAAATTAAATTGGACGTTTTGAAAGGTTAACACAAAAGCTACTTTGCTCTTGGTAATCAATAAGGAAAAAGGATTTCAGGTAATTAAAATCTGTGAAGTGAACATTTCTCATTTGGAACCTATTAAAAAAGAATATATGCAAACAGGCAAGAGATAAATATAAAAAAGTGATTAAAATGTTTTGTTATATGTTGGCAAGGGAATGTAACAACATATATTCTGAAGTCTAAAATAATATATTATTACCAATAACGTAACATTTAAAGTATGTACATATATATGCATATTACTATATTTAAACATTAAGCTGTAACTTAATAATAGGCCTGTTCTATATGTTAGGTTCCAGTCTGTGTATTGTTCAGGTCTTTACTACTGCACATTTGGCCCAGGAATGAGCATGCAATGTAGGATACTTGTTGAAATGCAGAATCTCAGAATTATTCAAGATGTATGGGGTCTGATCAAAATATAGTGAATATTTCCAGTTTTTAAAATGTATTGCAGTGAAGGATACGTCACTAGCAGTGTGCATTTAAAATAGTCCTGCTCACTTTGAGCACACTTATCCCATTGTTCTCACCACTTTCTGGAACGGCTGTGGAAGTGTTCGGAAATTTTGGAAGTGATTAATAAGTGCATTCAAATTTAACAAGCATGGGTTTGGGTGAGTGCCCCGCAGGAAAATGAATAGCCTCTAAAAATGTCACAGACTCTTCTTTAAGGCCCAAATTCGTAATTTTGTGGCTAACTGTGAGGAAATTAACTGATTTCACAGAGTTCTTAAGGGTTGGTGTGGACTGGACACCTGATTTTCTGTAATGCAGGAGCCAAAGGGACCACAAACTGGGGCTGGACTCTTATCCCAAACCACCCGCTTCTGAGCCCTTGATAATTAATAGTTGTTCTTTTTGTCTAGGGGAAATGTTCCTTTTTCATTCTTTACCGGTTTCCCATCAAAATTTGATCTCTGCTCCTAGGATGAATTTTTTTCCTAAACCTAAACTTTAGAAATTGTCTCAGTGTGATAATCTTTTAATTTGTTCACTGGAATAATTTCAGCTCCTTAGAACTTTTCTAGAATCCTGTCTCTGGCTATAGATACAAGCCTTTGAAAGACTTGAAAGTCCCTGTATTGTGTGGTTTGCAGTATAAGGATGAAATATTACACATATTTAAGATCTGAAAGAAGACCTGTCCTTCCTTATTCCTTAGCCTCCTGGATTCCTTGGAACTATCCAACTGCTGATGTTTGGAGAGACGTGAGGAGTTGCTTCTCTTTTGGGTCACTTCTAGCTAAGGGGTTCTTTCTTTCATCACAAAGCACCTTTAAGCCAGCATGGATAGTGCACTGGACTTCTAGCCAAGCCTGATGTTGTCATTTGCCATTAAACGCGAAGTGCCTCTAAATGACTGCCACACCATGGCTTTTTAGTGATAAAAACCAGGAACTGCATGTACGTCTTCTCTGGGTCAGTTCTTAGATTTCCTGCTTATGACTCCTGCTTCCCCTGTTTAACCTTTTGGTCTCAAACATAAAACATTTGCTAGATATAGTATATTGGCCTTTAAAATTCACATTTCTTTCTCTTCTATTTTTATATAGTTCTTATGACATTGAAGTAATATATGCTTTTAACATAGCATTACAAAGATATATTATTTTTATGATACAAGAAATATTTTTGCTAAGGATTAAAGTATATGGCTTTTGTAAATAAATATTGACTATATTATATTAAATTTTTATTTTGATACTGGGGATCGAACTCAGGTCCTTGCACTTGCGAGGCAGGCAGGAGAACCACTGAGCTAAATCCCCAGCCCCCAGTATATTTTTCAGTGACGGTGAAGGCCCTGTGTAATCAGCATGTCCTCTAGCATACCTACTGCACTTAACTGTAATGCAGGGAGGCCAGTGTATAAGGGCAGTGAAAACAGACATGACAAGCAGGGCATGAGGTACTCAACAGAAAGAAACCTCATTTGTCTGGTATTCAGGGAAAGGCCCAAAGAAGAGGCGGCATCTGAACAGAGCAGAGCAGAGCAGAAGGGAGATCAGGCAGGGAAATGGTATTAGCAGCGGTATAGATGCTAAAAAGCAGAGGTATAGAAAATGTGCCGGAATCATAATGGACATTTAAGTGCAACTGAATATATGCGAAGGCAAATGACGGGACACAGGAATCTGAAGACAGCGTGCTGTATCTGATCGGGATCTCTGGTGACGCCATCCAGTGTGCATCCGGGCCATTTAGTGCCTGCACAAAACAACAGATGGGCTAAGTGTTTGACTACCTAGATCTAAGGCCTGAGAATCCAGCAGACCATTAAAAGCAGCAGACCATTAAGTTCATTAAACTTTACAGCTCAGGACAGGTGAAGAAAACAACATTCATTGGTTCTTAGGAGCCAGAAAAGAGAAGGACTAAGGTAGGGGTGGCTGGAGAAGAGTATAATGGAGGAGGTACTGACCCGGAACTTAAGACAGGGACTGCAGTGAACTGCAGTGGTCTAGCTCATGGTGCAAGTTTTGACAAATCATTTCACACTCCCGGGCTTCTGTGTCCTCATCTATAAAATTAGGATTATAAATGGTAAGTCTAACATTTATTCTCTCAGTGTATGATTCTTGAAGAAATTCCTCTCTAACAAGAGTACATTTTACCTGATTTTCTACTTATTTGAAGATCACAATGAACAAACCAATTCTGGATGGGAGACTGTGCCCCTCAATGGGATTAGGCAATCAGTTCAAATCCTTTCTGAATATCAATTTTAGACTTTTCCTTGACTCTGTTATTTCTATTCCCACAGAACAGAAGTTTGGTCATTCAGGCAGTAGTATCCAAATACTCAGGTGGCAAAGTAGAAGCTTGAAGACAACTGTAGAAGAACCAGCAGTGGGATTGGAGCTCATATTCTCTGCCTGGTTGACCTAATGATCTGGAGTTTAAAAAAAGTGACTTGGAATATCTTTAGGTGAGTAAGCAAATAAGACATGTGTTGAACATCCAGCAGGTACTGCACTGCTCTCTCCCTGACTCCAGGAGGCTCAAACTTCAAGTGAAGTATTTTTTGAGTTTATACTGTGGAAGATCTTAAACAGTTTGTGATGAAGGCTTTTGCTCCCAGTGTGAAATAGTTTATACACTAAAGGGAATGTCTGACAAGCTAATAATATGTCCCAGGGGAATATTTATAAAAATTTTGGTGGCTCTAATCACCTCTAATTACAATTTTCTGCACAGTCTATTCCAGAAAGAAATCTGGAAAGTGGAACAATATTGAAAAAGTTGTATTTTCATAAAGTTATGGACAATTAATGCCAAGTGAGTAAAATTCTAAGTGTTTAAATGTCACGGTAGAGACAATGCTAATTTGACCTTCAGTTTTCATGTGGAAGCTTGAGAAGTTTGGGTAGGATAAAGAGAAAAGCACTTTTTATTCCCAAAAGGTTTTTAAACCTGCCTTTAGTAGGCTCTGTGTGTCTTCCTTTTGTGATCTCAGGTTTTATAGTCTCCTTTATCAATTGTACGAGGTGTGGAAGGCTAGTTTATATCTTTCAGAAGGGACACCTGGGTCAACAGGTTGAAAGAACTTTGAAAGTTATTTGTATCTTTGCCAGTCTCTGCATTGTGTGGGAATCACTGGAGCTGGTGTGTAAACTACCTTTGAATAAGAGGCAGAAAATGGAATTTATCAGGGGACAATGCCCTTTGTTTAGAAGTAGCATCAAAAGATGAATAAAAGGACACAGCCAGTCTACTGTGTTTAGTGTCCCATTTTTTCCAGATAAAAAAGGGATAATATTCAATTTTGATTGTGCACAGAGGCCTTGGGTACTTAAAGGAGATGGAGGAAGAAGAGAAATGAAAAAGAAATAAAGCAACCAATATGTTCTTGAACTATAACTTCTAGCAGCTGCATTTAAAAAACAACCATTACATTTCATGGGTATATCTGTGAGTCTTATCCATTATATGTGCAAACAAAATCTGATTAGTATTTGTTATAAGCTCGTCTTGTCTGCTTTTATTACAGACATCACCTTCAGATGTGGGGCCACTGCAGCTATTAAATCAAGAATATTTAGCTATTATTTGTAATAAATGTCAGCAGGGCTGAACTGAAGCCAGCAGGAAATGTTCAGGACAGAAAACACACTGACATTCATTCATGCAAATTTGTACCAGTGGTAGAATTAATCATAAAGAGGGAGGATGGAGCATACAATGCATTTATATTACTGCTTTGGCCAATTCACTTCTTCCTAAATATGAGAGTTATAATGAACAGAAAGCAATCTGCTGGCAAACAGTCCCGTGTGCAGTGCAGGCTGTGAGATTAGCTTTCCAAAGCAGGCAGAGCTGGGGTTATGCGGGACCACCCCTCATTCTCCCACACTGTCTCTGGCTCCTGGGACAGAATTCTGGTGTCCTTTTTCCTCCTTAGATGACATCTAGTTTTATCATGCACATAACTCTTCCCTCCGAAAAAATCACTGGGACAGTGTAAGCAACATTCCGTGCATATTGCTGAGTGCTGGATCAGCCATGCCCCCTTATAAATCAGGATGCTTCCGTCACCCTGAGAAGAAGGGGCCATGGGAATTGGGTTGTTGACTATTTAGAAAAAAGAGAGAGACAGAGTTTAAATCCTCTTAAATCTGCCTCTGTGTAAAGTGAGGTAAAACACCCCATACGATCGAATAATTCAATCTCAGAGAAAGTTGTAATCATTATTATCAAACGTAGGAATTGGTTACGTTGAGCATCAAGGAGTATCAATTAAAGTTAATACCAAAAAACCGTAAGTGCATTTATTTTTTTTAGAAAGGCAAAAAATGTACCATGAAAGCATATCTTTAAAATTTCTCATTTTCTCACTGCATTAAATTGTTATTCACCAGAAAACAAACTGCAGAAAGGAGTTGACATAAAAATTATAGAGGACTTAAAAGATATTAATTATTCTTGTGTTTCACTTCTATGATTTGAATAGAAACATGGAGTACATAAAATAAAAATACATTTCAAGGAGTTAACATTAAAATGCTTTTTTAGACTTGTATACTAATATAAAAATAAAGGAAAAATCTTCTAAAGTGTCTCACGTAGTATGGAAGTCAGCTCAAAGTAATATCTTTCGGAAACAGTGCCATTGTTCCCCACTGCTTTGTACACTTGTTTATAGAATGCATATTACAAGTGGAAGCACTTTTCTTACTACTTCTGATTCCTGATAGGCTCCTATTTCTCACATTAATTTTTTAGTTTAAGTGTTAGGAAAATGCTTTTAAAAGTCAAATGGAAAGGGACGTGTCTGTTGATGTAAAGGACTGTTGTCCTGCCTTAGTACAGTAACTGTACTGAATGGCTTAGGTTCTAAGTAGGAGGATCAGCAGGGGTGTTAAGGTGAGGGTGGGGAACCTGTCTTTACCTCCAGGATATCTGCAGTACCAGCTGAAGCAGTGGTATGAACTGGCAGCTTTCTAAAGGCGAGACACTCTTTTCAACAGTATTCTTATGGCATGATTATTGATTCTATGTCTCATTTTATAAAGAATCTACAGAAATTATAGGAGTAAGTGAATAAAATTACATAATGACAGTAGGAAAATATAT